TTTTTCTTGCTCTGCATGTCCAGGAATTCTCGACACAGAGATTCCTATCGTCTTGTAAGCTGAACTTTTTTTTGAGATGGGTGTGGGAATATGTACGTTGTAAAATCAGCAAAAAGCATAATCTTCTTCAGATAGTTACGGTTGCCAGTTATGGAGTAGTGGCTGCCAGTGCCTTCGGTGTTCTCTACTTTTGCAAACCCATTTGTAGTTCATAAGCTAAGAATTCTCATACCCCCTTCACATATCTCACGATTTACATTTTTCACCCTGTCAATGAGGCCAAATTTTGTCTTATTTGAATTGGGATCACTAATTTCTAAAGATAGATTAGTGTGTGTGTGATATTTTTGCTCACAGCTTGTTAACTCTTGTGGTATTCTTTCTTTTGCTTTTATCTGTTTATACCAAAAACGAATTGTGTTAAACTCTCATAAACCATGGCTGGTGTGGATATTACCCGACTCTTAGCCTTTTTAGGTGATGCAAAACATGAAAATTGCTTAAAGTTGCCCCAATTTCTCTCTACTTTCAACTCTTTCTTTGCAATAACCACTTTTTGCAGCTCTTCACATCACACACACAGAAAAGCACACACTGTCTTGTTTTCTTTATGACTTTCCATGTGACAATACATTGATAATCTAGGCCTTATATTCTTGTCATTCACATGAAATCCACCCAACAATTTTTCTTTCCATTGCAATTTTTTCAAAAAAAGGGGGGGAAAGCCATAAAAGTCATCTCCATGCTTGTAAACAAACTCCCAATGCGCATCCGAAAGGAAATCAGAGATGGAAAGTACCAATTCGCCACAACCATAGTCTTTTGCTTGTCGATTGCATTGCTTGTCTTAGTCCTAGGTACGATCATCAATGACCACTTCAAGAAATTCGTGTTATATGAAGACCTATCCTTGTCGTCACTCAATGCTTTTCCTCCTCTCTTTTTGACCCTTCCACCTTCACCACACCATGCATGTACACAACAATATAATGATTATAGCTCAAATGTGACACAAAGTTTTAAGAAATGGATTTTTCCTAGCCATCTTTGGCACTCTATGAGCGATGAGGAATTGATGTGGAGGGCCTCGATGACTCCTCGTGTAACTGATTACCCTTTCAATCGGACGCCAAAAGTTGCTTTCATGTTCTTAACGAGGGAAAGATTGCCGTTGGCCCCACTATGGGAGATGTTCTTCAAAGGGCACGAAGGTCGATTTACCATCTACCTTCATACCTTGCCGCAATATGACAATGAGCCCGACGAGTCATCGGTTTTTTACAAGCGTAGAATACCTAGCAAGGTACATTTTCTAATACACACATATATAAAACATCACGATCTAGTGTCTTTATTTTTTATTGCCCGTAAGCCTAATTGCAAAATTGTTCGTTCATCTTTCAAAGTTATAAACTATGTTATATGAGTTTGATAAATTTCAATTTCCTTTTGATAGTTGGTTCAATGGGGGAAGTCAACCATGATCGACGCCGAGAGACGACTCCTAGCGAACGCACTACTCGATTTCACGAACGAAAGATTTGTGCTCCTATCAGAAACATGCATTCCATTGTTCAACTTATCCACAATCTACAACTATCTTATAAACTCCGACCAAAGCTTTCTTAGCACCTTTGACGACCCTAGGCGCATGGGTCGGGGCCGATACAACAAGCGTATGGGGCCCACAATTAAATTGTCCGATTGGCGAAAGGGATCTCAATGGTTTGAAGCCAATAGGGAGCTTGCCTTAACGATAGTATCCGACGTGACGTACTACTCTGTGTTTAGAAACCATTGCATGCCACCTTGTTATATGGATGAGCATTATTTGCCAACCCTAGTCACCAAAATTTGCCCTAACTTGACATCAACTAGGACCATAACTTGGACTGATTGGTCCGGAGGTGGCTCACATCCTAGGATGTTTAGGAGAGGTGACGTCACACAAGGGTTTTTGGAAAGCATTAGAAATGGATCCAATTGTACTTATAATGGTGAGATGAGCACAATTTGCCATCTCTTTGGAAGAAAATTCCATCCTAGTACTTTACAACCCTTGCTTAAGATAGCCCCAAAATTATTTGGTCTCAGCCCTTAGAATATGTTCCATAAATATGTTGTCGCTTTTTTATGTAACTCAATTAACAAGAATAAATAATGTTTGTTATTACCATAAAGCCAGAACTCCTCACCTTATTTTGAAAAAATAAAAAATAAAAAACCCTCTCACTTTAATCTAAAACAGATCGTCATGTCATCACTTTTCTGGTTTTGGTTATAGAACTAAAAGAAACATTTCCTTCTTTAAAGGAGCACATTTCAATAATTGGGTGGATATTAGGCGTTAGATTGTGAAGATTATGGTACCATATGGTGCCCATATGGGCGCCATAGAATTTTTGGGATATTCATCAGTTTAAAGCTATTTATACTCCTTACTCACACAGCACACAAAAATAATAATAATAATAATATAGGTCCAAATAAGTTACACCCCAATTGCAATCCACCCGTACTTAACACAATTCCACAAACACTTGTTCACCAAAAAAATCTAGTCATCAACTAAAATAAAAAAGTAAAAACAAGAAAAGAAAATCAATATTAATCACTCATTCACTCGTTGGGATTTTCATCTGACGGCACCCCCCTCAGCTCGTCAATCATCCTAACAACACGGTCCATCTTCGGGCGGCAATCGGGCCGGGCCTGCGCACACGCCATCCCGACCTGCAGCAGGCCCACCATCTCCTCCTCAATTTCCCTATACCTCATCAGCTCCAAGTCAAACACCTCAGCAGTCCACTCCTCCCTCACCACAGACTGGACCCACCTCGGCAAGTCGAGCACCCCAGGGGCATTATGGTCATTTACGCTTGGACACTTCCCGGTCAGTATTTCCAGCAGGAGGACCCCGAACGAGTACACGTCAGACTGTGGGCTCAGTTTGCGGCTGTCCAACGTGGCCTCGGGAGCACAGTAGCCGTCGGATTTGGAGAGTGGGGAGAAGATGGAGAGGCCGTAGTCTGATAATCTCGAGTTGCCGTTTTTGTCGATTAGGACATTTGCCGACTTTATGTTGCCGTGAAGGGGCTTGCATGAGGAGTGGATGAAGGATAGGCCGTGGGCCGCGCCAGATGCTATTTTTAGTCGTGTGGTCCAGTCGAGTGGGGTTCGCCCGGGGCCTCTGTTGCCTGTGTAAGATTTTTTTTATATAAGTATGATGAAAAGTATGTTATTTTTTGGTAGGAGTTAAGTGACATTTTAAGATTTGATATTTTTTAAGATTTTTAGATTTTGGAGAAATTCTCTGAAATCCCAAGTCTAGAGGTGAGATTTGAAGTGGGATTTTGTATAAGGCTTTTTTTATTAGAAATCTCACCAAATTTTAAAGTCTTAATAAATCCTAGTGTCAAATAAGTTAAATACCTTATTTTGTAAGACTTTTTAAAATCTCAATTAAATATCCCAAGACTTTTAAAAGTCCTAAAAAATCTTAAATTGAATACACCCGGATTTCTAAAGTCTTAAAAAGTCCTTGAAAATCCTAATTGAATACACCCCCTTAAATTTCATAGCAAGTTCAAAATATGCAACTCAAGTTTGCCCAAAACATCCCTTTTTTTTCTCTTCATTGTTTAACAGATTCAAGATTTCATCCCTAATTTAATCATAATATCCTAATGCAATTTTCATCATCGTCTGTGCCCAAGAGGCAAAAACGAGAGGGATTATCTTTTGGTGATTTCTATACTTTGGGAGAATGAAACTCATTTCCGCGTATAATCAAACTAATACTCTTGTAATTCCCAAATGTTTGCCAAGTCGAATCCTAGAAAGAGAAAATGTGATGGGGACAATACTATAATAACAGGAAAAAGGTTAAATTATCCTCAATCTTTTTGAACTAATCTTCACCAAGATTAGATCATCAACCACTACTTTAGAACACTTGATGACTCTCCTTTGAATTAATCCCCCCCTAATGTCATTTCCACTACATATCCACATGCACAGCTAGCCAGACATAAACATCTAGGATGAGAAAAACAAATAAATTGAGGATGTACAATACAAACAAACAGAAGAGGTTAAAAAATCAGAGGCCATGTGACAACATGCCTTTATTTAAGTAAAGCTAACTCCTAAACTAAATACTTTCAGCTATAACAACTCAGACTAAAAAAATTTAGCCCAACCTCAAAAGAACCCAATTTTCCTTCAGTTGCATCCCCATAGTGTTCAAAGAAAGTAAGTACCATTGAGCTATGTATTTGCGTAAAACAATAAACCTATTATTGATAGGGCTATTCGGAAAGAGGTGACTGAAATTTTGAAATAGGACAAATGTGCCTTTTGTAATTAATCAAAATATCAGGGGTAATTTATAGAACAAACCCACAATTCTACACTCAATGCAGTCCCATCCACCATTGCATCCAAAATCAATCCAACACCCAGAAACTAAACACAACATATTCACAGTGCACACCCAACACGAGAAAAGTGTAAAAAATAGAGATAGCATGATAGTACTTACCATGAAGTAGCCAAAACAAGTTACCATTAGGCATGTACTCATGGACCAACAGTTTCTCATCCCTCGCAAAATAATAAGCTTTCAACCCCACCAAATTTTGATGCCTAAGCCTCCCCAAAAACTCCATTTGCTGCTCAAATTCTTTCTTGTTACTCACATTCAAATCCTTCAACCTCTTCACAGCCACAACACTGCCGTCATCTAAAATTGCCTTATAAGCCGTCCCAAGTCCACCTTTACCCAGCATTTCTGCTGAAGCTCTCAACAAGTCCTCCAGCTCAAACCTCTTGTCCCCATCGAAAAACACCATTTTGCCCCTCTCAGACCCGGGCTGGGTTGGGTTGGGGTACGGGCTCGAGGAATACACAATCTTTTCTGTTTGGGAGACACAGCATTTTCCCGAGTTCAATGTACTGGAATTACTTTTCCAGAAATAGCAGTACAGAATGTAAGCAATTAACCCCAAAACCAAAACATCTCCCACTATTATGGCGATTATGGCGAACCAGCTGATTTTGCTCCCGTGAGCATTTCGGGCCTTTCCGGGCGGGTTCGTCTGGGCCGGCATTGCTGTTGGGGATGAAGCAATGGTTGTTTTCGGGCTAACAGGGGAGGCCATGGCTCCACCGGGCCGGGCCAGAGCTAAATTACATTTCTGCAGTGGGGGCCCGCATAAGTTGGGATTGTTGGAAAATGACGAGTGGGGAAAGCCCGAGAGATAGCCCGGAATCTCACCCGTCAACCTGTTTCCTGAAACGTTGAAGTCCTGTAAGCTGGGTAGGTTCAGACCCGAAATGGGGCCCATGAGCCGGTTTTCCTCGAGCCTCAACGTCAGCAAGTGCGTCAGCCGGTTCATACCCAACGGTATACTGCCGGAGAAATTATTGTAAGACAGATCGAGTCGGTAGAGGTTGGAAAGGGAAAATAACGAGGGCGGAAATTGGCCGGAAAATTTGTTGTGAGAAATGAAGAGGAGTTTGAGGCTGGTGAGGGTGGATAGATCGGGGACCCGACCCGAAAATCCGTTTTGCTTGAGGCTGAGGACCCGGAGCTGGGTTAAGGAAGTGAGGGAATGGGGGAAGGAGCCGTGGAGGTTGATGTTCTCGAGAACTAAACGGGCGACCCGATTGTGGATGCACGAGAGTCCGACCCATGAGCCTGTGCATGGGTCGGATGAGGAGTTCCAAGAGGCGAGAAGGGTGCCGTTTGGGTCGACGGCGGATTTGAAGAGTAGGAGGGGTGGAGCATCGGGGTGGTCTAATGCGGCGGCGGCGTGGTGGAGGAAGAGGAGGAATAAGGCGGCGGTGGTTAAAGGGTTTGGTTTTAGGTCTTTAGCCGTTGCCGCCATTGTGTGCTGTAAAGGGTTCGAGAGAGAGAGAGAGAGACTGAGAATGAGAGTACCGTGCTGCTGATAAAGAGAAAGGCTGAGTCTGGAATTAATGGGGGGAATGGTTTTTGGATTTCCGTGCAAAGAAATGGATCTAGTCAAAATGTCAAAGTGTAAATCATGTAAATTTGTAATATAGTCAATAAGTAACTCTACCTAATAGCATCCACAATGCATTGGGTCTAATTTTGGGTCTAGTTTTACATATGTGACATATAAATGGACTTAAGTCCTAAATGACATGGACAAAACCCAAGTAAAAAAATTCAAAAGTTATTCAATGCAAAAACTAAAATACTAGGTCTATCATACATGTCAACCAATAAAAATGCTCTAATATGTTTCATTTCTTACAAGAATAATTAAACTACAAATAAATTATGAGTGTTTGGGTTTGTACTTGGGTACAAAATAAACCCAAGTGTGGACTTGGTCTCATTTTTTTATTGCCACATAAGCTAGACCATGTCCACTTTTAATTGCATTGGGAGACTTTTTTTTTATAGACTAGGTCTATTTCCTACATTGCATGAGATTTTTTGTTAAGAGACCCAAAACATTGTGGATGCTCTAAGGCGTGATTGTGTACAAATATTTTCACTCAAATTGAGTTTTTTTGGTTAATTAAAGTTAATTTAAAAAAAATAGTATGGTTAGTTGTTAGTAGAATTTTGATTTTATATTAAAATATTATTTAAAATAGAATAATTAAAGTTGATTTGATGTAAAAGTAAGAGAGAGATAATATGAAGTGATAGTTAATTAAAATTATGTGAGTTGATGAATAGTAAATTAAAGTTGATGTGATGTGTAAGAATAATTGGTTGATATTATTTAATTATATTGAGGATATTGGAGTTGAGTTAGATTTTGAGTATGAATTGAGCATAGATTGTGTTTCTTTGTATACAAACACACTCTAAACTTTTGATTGGGATAATCTATTTATATATATAATTATGGGATGCGCTCCAGTGAGAATGATTCTCAATTAAAGAAATAAGAATACATCTTGACCATCAGATCGGATAATCCAACGGTCAAAATCAAATAATAATCATACACTAGTGAAGGGTGTAATAGGCATTTTCCTTCCCATTAAATAATGTGGATCCCACCATCCCTATACCAACTCTTCTTTCTCTCTCTCCGCAACCCCAACTCCTACGACCTCACCTCCCCATCACACCAGATCACGTCGCCGGCTACTGCAAATGCACCATCGCCCCCAGAATATATCACGCCTTCGCCGCCCGACTGCCACTTCTCCACAGCCATCGCCATCGACGACCTCACTCACACCGCCACTTCATCGCCCATATCGAAGAGCTATTTCTAGCGCCTCTTCCTCGCCCCAATCGGAGATCGTACTTCTGGCCGGCCGTCGCGTCCGCACACTTCACAATCGTCTGCAGCCCGGCTGCGCTATCATCACCCCAGCACCTCTGATCACCTCCATCACTGCCCTAATTTTCAAACCTCGGCACCACCACCACGACCACCCCGCCCTCAGCCTGACGAGCACCATCGCAAGCGAGAACACGCGGAATAGTGACACCACGCACGGCGCCACATCCCACGCGCATTCGACGTGAAGTTCGTGTTTGCGCCGCCTTCTTATGCACCACGAACGCAACCAAGTTCCGGTGACTGAGCATCATCATCGCCATCGTTCGAAAGCCTGTTGCTGCCGTTAAAATCCCACTGCCGTCGTCATTTGTTCATTCACTGGATCGACAAGAAAAAATCAGGTTGGGGACGACGGATAATGAATGGACAGGAATGGGAAATTTGGGTTTGGGCTAGGGACTTCAAATTGGAAATTAGACAAGTCATGTGGACTTAGTTGCAAATTTTAAAAATTATAATATATTGCAATTTAAGTCTTGGGTAAATTTGTAATTTTTTATAAGTTTGATAAATGCACAATAATATTAAGTAAAATGCACGTTATAATGTGTGAATATCCACAATAAAAATATCATGATATTTTATGAAATTACAAATTTATCACAACAAACATAATTAAAATTTCAAAAAAAATTACCAAAATACCACCGCGCAACAGAATGCACAATAGAGTTAAAACGAGTGCACATTAATGACTGCACACAATAGTGTTAAAATGAGATAGAATGCACAATAGTGTTAAAATGAATGCACACTAATGACTGTGCACAATAGTGTTAAAATGAGTGCACATTAATGATTGTCAAGCTGCACAGCGTAACAGTGCATTGCAGTGCAATGATAAAAATACCCTGCGTCAAAAATCAAATGTCCACTTATTGACAAAAATGTCACCGTGTGTTTGACCAACACTAGACCCTTTGACCGTGTTTGGAACATTGATGTATCACATCCAATGGTTATTATTCATTCTTATTTATTTCACTATGACTCTTTCAAATTTTAGCACACTTGATATAATTATAAGCTACTAAATAATATTTTTTTCATTTATGTTTTATTTAACTGTAGAAACTAACCATGATATCTTACATTAATTAAGTATAATAATATTTTTTTAACTATTTTATCATATATATATATATATATATACATTATAAGTCTTACAGCTTATAAAAATGAGAATACATCATAGCCATCGAATCGCATGATCTAACAGCTTATAAAAAACCCAAAAATATACATTCATTAAGGGCATTGTTGGAATTTTCTACACTATATCCAAACATAATAATTATCCTAACGGGTGGAAAGAGTAGCTCATTAAAATAAAAAATAAAAAAAAAAAAAGAGAAAAAGAAGAAAAAGAATGGGAGTTGGCTTATTGGTTTCATGCTTATCATGTTTTCATGTTTAGTAAACCATTTATAGTTTCTGCACGTATATGTAGACGAGGGAGTTTGAATCAAGTAATCATGTGTAGATAACTTAGGACGGATTTTTGTTTTGTATGGATTTACTATGTGGGGAACGTGTTTTTGGATTGAATTTTGATTTTATGGACTTCCGGATGAAGATGAGAGTTTCATTTCGCACGCTCGTTTATTTTGGACTTCTCAAGTTTTCTTTTCGAACTACTTGTTGTTCTATTTGCTTGAGGACAAATAAAGAGTTAAATGTGGGGAAGTTGTTTATTGTGTTTTTTCGCTTATTTTCGTGTGTTTTATGTGTTTTAGTTGAGTGTTTTTAGGTCCATTTTAGTGTCGACTGGTCCGTTTTATCGTGTTTCGTGTATTTTTGCTCTCGTATTGTGTTTTTGTGGTTCGACGTATTTTTTTTTTGTCTTTTTGGTGTTGTTTAGGTCCACACTATTCGAATCTAGGGAGACGAGCCATTTTCGAGACATTTCCAAGTCGTCCGAACCATGTCCAAGCCACGCGAACCATTTTCGAGCCGTTCCGAGAATATTTATTAATTTCGTGGTGGTAGTTATTTGCGCATCTCAAGACGAGGAGAAGAAGATTTGAGAAGTGTGGGTCAAAGTTTCAAGTCAATTGGAGAAGCGTGCGAGAAGTTAGAGCGAATCGAGCATCAAGGGATCACCATGACCATCTCCAGCGTCTCAAACCCGCGCCCGCAAGTGACCGCCCGCGCCATCTAACAGCCCCGTGCCCGCAAGTCTTGAGGCCGCGCCCGCGAACAGCCTAGTGCCCGCGAGTGCCCTAGTGCACAGCCGTTACTCGCGAGTCCCTTCACTCGCGCCCGCGAAGCTCACCAAAGCCGCAAGTCTCAGCTGAGTGTCGATAGCCCCCGTGATATGGGATATTATATAGCTAAAGAATAGACCAGTTTACCACATTGGTCAGACAAGCTCGAGGTGGAGAAAACTGTATTGGTCGAGGGATAATCGACCAAAAAGGAAAAGATCGAGCAGAATAGCAGAACTGGTCGAGGCGACCTGGCGACGGAAGACTCAGTCAGATCGAGCACTCAACAGGTGAAGAGCAGTCGAGAGCGTGGCTTGAACGCGAGAAAGCGCGTGGGTGGCGTTAGAAGATCCTAATGGGATGCGCAGAGAATAATCTTCCTTTGCTTAGAGGGACACGTGGTGAGAGTACATTAGTGCAGTGCAATAGTGGTGATAACCACCTCTGACGCCTCTGACATACGCATACTGTGTGTGTACAGACGGGCAGTACGGGCAGGACAGCTCACCAGATCCGGGCAGCTCCTAGGGCAGGTACCTTACTCCTATATATATAAGAGTGAGTCTTTTCTTGTGACTTACGATTTATCCATTACATACTTTGAAAAATTGAGTAGACTATACACTGACTTAAGCATCGGAGGCTCTTCACCGGAAAACTCCTCCGGTGTGAGAGTTCTGTGCAGGTGCGCGGCGTTCTACTGGCAAGGAGGAGGAAGACGAGCCGATTTCAAGCCAGTCGGAGTGTTTTGCGTTACCACCCCGAGTCTTCCAGTTCGCGCCTGTGAAGCACACGCCTGCTTGCGAGTGCTGCGCCATGCTCTTGCCCGCAAACTCCACAGCCGCGCCCACGAACCACCTGCTGCCCGCGAGTCCGCGCCCTTGCTGGCGTGCTTGTGAATTTTGCTCACGAAAATCCACATTTTCCTCGCGAGTTCGACCTAGCTCGCGAGTGTTATCATTTAATGTGTGTGTTTAGTGCATGTTTTTGCTACTTAGTATAAATATGTTTCTTCCTTTGTAATTTGGGGATTCATCTCTCATTTTTCTACTTTCCCACTTTGGGAAAAGCTTTATTTTTCTATTTTGCTCTCTATTTTTCCCTTGGAGGTCTATGACATCGTTTTTCGGTGTTCTCGTTTTTGTCCAAGTTCTGAACTTCTTAATCCAATTTTCATCTAGCACGCAATAGAAGATTCGGTATTTACTTTTAAGGCTCATTACTTCAATTTTTGCCTCGTTTTTACTTATAATGTTTATCAAGGTGAATGTGAGTGTTTGTTGGATGATGGATGGAAAGTTTGGACTTGATTGTTTTTATTACTTGCTTGAGTGATTGTAGGGATTAATTTCTTGCCTATCTAGATTAAGGGTTGAGACTCTATTTAGAGCATAATCACTTAGGTTAGAATGTTAGGGTTAATTATCTAGTGCTTAGAGTTTGCATATTTCTCTTTATTGTTTTCATTTTGTGTCG